CATTCCTCAGGATTCTGTTTTGCCTCGTCAGTGCACCTGTAGAATTTTCCCTACGCATAAAACAAAAAGCAATGACAAAATGCAGAATATGCAAAATAAACACAATTATACTATGATTGGTTCAGAACGGGACCAACCCAGTTCCCGCAGCAAGCCACCAAGAGTTCAACTCAGCTTTGCTTTTCTTGATGCAGTGTAAATTTTGAGAGCATTTACTTACCTTGAACAGCTGCACTCCAATACAAGCAAACATGAACTGCAGCAGAGTTGTAACAATCATGATATTACCAATAGTTCTAATAGCCACAAAGACACATTGAACAACATGCTGGAAAGAAAGAAAGAAAAAAAGATTTTTAAAACACCTTGTTAGTTAGTATCACAGAATACATACAGTAAAAGTCTATTTTATCAAACTCAAATTATATTTTAAATGACTATTCTTGTGTTGTCAGTATTATACTATCACAATTAAACTTGTTTTCTAAATCTGTCTATAAATCTGTTGACTTAGATCCATCAACATCACCTGACTAAAAATTACATAAGCACTATGGAAAACCAATTAAAATATTGCTCTGACATATTGGTTCACAGTAAGTATTATGGTCAAAATCTGCTCTCCGTGGCACTGGTGCTCCTCCACATATAAATTGTTGAAACGGTGGGCAGAACCTGACCTGGTATGTTTAAGAATCAGGAACCAGTTTATGTCCTTGCCCTGGGAACTTCTCTGGGCAATTTTTCTTGCTCAAAAATTTTTAATCTGAGGCAGGACTGAAGAATCAGGCCAACAGAAATGTAACTTAAAAAATATAAACAAACACCTTAAGTCCTTTTGCTCTGTTTATTGCTCTTAGAGGCCTCAAGACTCTTAAAACTCTGAGGATCTTCACAACTGAGATAGCACTTGATCTGGGAGGGGGAAAAAAAGTTAGTTAGTTAGTCTGTTACTTTTAAGGTAACTGATTTTATTACTAATAATGTTCTTGTAACTTCCTTACACGTGAAATTTCAAAAAGTCTCAAGAGATATATATATACACACACAAGATTTTTTAAAGTATTTCTTTAGTGATCCTTTCTTAATATTAGAAAACAGTATCAATCTCAAATAGCCTAAGAATTATTTTGATTTCTGGAGCAACCTGGCAATTAACAGCTCAGAAGCTTGTCTGGCACTGTAATGCAGTTAAGTTTGGTCAGGAGCAAAATAGTCCCCAAGGTATTTTGCAGTGTTGACAAGCTCTTTCAAAGACACTGTGTAAGTCCTCTAAATCAATGAATACCTTAATTTCCAACCAGCTGGAGATGAAAAGATCCCAAGTGACTCACCTTCTCTTTAAGTAGCTAGGAACGCGTTTTGAGGAAATAGCAGCAGCCAGCCTTTTAAGAACATACTGTGAAACTGAAAGCTGGTGTAACAGGTATTCCAGTACAAGCAGAATGCCAACTGGGAAGCAGTCGACTGACACTCAGCCCTTGCTCTTTTCTAAGTCACTAAGGATTTCAGAGATGACTTTCAGTGAGGCACGACTGCTCAGTGAATCAATAAGAACCTTCAGACTCTTTTATAATGTTTAGCCTGATTCAAACAAAGCAAAAGAATTTCTTCACTAGCACTTACAGTCCTGGTTCAGGCACAACTTCTCTCCCCTGCAAACATCGTCAAGTTACACATCCCAGTAGGTCAGTGCTGAAAGAGCAAGCTCGTAGAACTAGACTGTAGATGTGGCAATAGCACAAGAGAGGGTATATAAACCTCCCGAAGCCCCAGGAATTACGTCCTATACAACACAGTGTCATGGTGCTCTTCCTTGTTCTCTTGGTAATAGCGGGAAGTAGTAATTTGTTTCCAACCCATACTAGTAATGAGTTCCAACACTCTCCATATAAAGCACTACCTCTTGCCAGTCCCAACCCTGAATACTGACACTGCGCACCCACACACAACGGGGGAACGAAAGCAGCTGAAACACCGATTTTGTTGTAAAACCCCAAAGCAAAAATAAATCATTTGCATTATAAGTATAGTACTTACTGAATACCAAATGATACCAGAGAAACACCCACAACCAGCAAATCCAGCAAATTAAAATAATTCCTGCAGAAGGACCCTTTATGAAGGAACGCTCCAAAAGCTGTCATCTAAAAATAGAATTGTTACACATTTAGTCTATATTTCAATTTATTCAAATTCACATTTAGGCTGTTTACAAGACACTTGCCTAGAGTGTGAATGCATACAGTATTACCTCACTTTCTAAAAGCAATTGAAATATAAAACAATCCCACTACGTTCATTAAATCTTTCATTTAAATGATAAAAATTCTGCTCAAGCAACACCAGCAAATGTGTTGTTTCTGATGTCAACAAATGTTATATTTTGTGTAAGAATTGATTAGGCTGAGCTGATTACACTAAATTCATTGGGTATTTGTTAGAAAAATGATTACAAGAATCATAAAATTTCCACGCTAACTAAACTGTAAGGTCCAGATGCTGACTCCATTCATATTGTCTTGAGAACTGAAGGAGCTGAAAATGTATTGCAAAAACATGAGTCAAATCTGGTACAGAACCAGCACAAATAGCATTACGCTGCTATTTGCCTTTGGCTGACAGGAGACATGGTAAGATCATGAGTGGAATAACCTGGAACAACCCACAGATTGTTTTGTACTATGTGTTGACAAGGGTCCCCAAGTTTTGCTGGTCTGCGGGGAACATCAAACATTACTCTCCCTGTTGGACTCTTCATTTTTTGCTCTCTGTGCCTACATTAAGAGGAAAGAATTACACAAGGGTTATCTCATGAAGGAACCTGCATGCATCATTTGCAGGTTTCATTAGGAACTGAGAGTAAGTACCAGTCAAAAAATGCACAGAGGAATCCAGTTAAGCAATTAGAAGCACAGAATCTGCACTTGAGTAGAATTTTGAACGGGTTTTTCCATAGTTACGGGCTAAGAGTGAAACACAAACTAAACTTGAAATTAAAATAAGGATACATTTGAAAAATACCTAGTAGTCAGTTCAGGCACATGGATTCTAATTTCTTCAGCCTTAAGGTCCTCTTAAAGTACTCTCAGCTACTCATTGTTTTTTACAGGCAAGAAAACTCGATGCCAGCCAGAGAACATCTGATATTGACTGTGCATTTTAAATCCATTACTTTCTGTTCTGTTCCTCAAGATGGAGCAAAAAGATTTTAGTTCCTTTCCTCTTGCAGCAGACGATTACATCTTTCAAGACTGTTCCACAATGTAGAACAGAGCTGCTGTCAATGGGCATCTTGGTCTACTGCGTCACTAGTTGTGTGCACAAACGTGTGGACCTTTTGCATGAAAAACCATCAGCCAGTGAAAGCTATGTATCTCCCAAGGAATGCAATCTACAAAAGATGTATTTTCCTTGGAAGCCCTTCTCTCCTTATTCTCATGTTAAACTTTCTTTTGTCATGATCAAAATATTAAACATTCCTCAAAACTAGAAGGATAAAAATCCTAAAGCTTTAACCCATGCCATGACATTATAATATCACTATATCATAGAATTTCCAATAAATTCCTAGCTCTTTTCACTTAAGAGTTGTACAGAGTATGGCTAACCTCATTAACATCAGTGGGAGCTGAACACTAAATAACCCCAAATATCAAACCTCCATCTATCTACAAATATTCACTTGCACTGTAGCATGTTCTCAGCTAGCAGCACACAAAGTTTCATGTAAAGACTCCCACAAAAAGTAAAGATATATTGACCTAAAAAGACAGGTGAAGTATGTATCTCCCCATCTTTATATGGAGACTCGTATTTCAATCACTACAAATCCCAGCAGAAGCATTTGACTAAAACTCTCTGTAGCAAATCATTCTATCCTTTGCGTGGATCAAGACCAAAGCAAAGCCTGGAGCAGGTCTGAGGTGGCGAGCGCTGTCACACAGCCTCCAGCGGAGCAGATGCTGCAGGACACGTGCTGAGCCGGGTGCCTGGGGCACCACCAGTGCTGCTCCTTTCCTCCTGCCTGTACTTCCACACCAGTGGGGACTGGTTTCATGGTGTGAGCACAGCTGGGGCAAGGTTAAAAGCACAAGTCCCTAACCTGACCCTTGCTCTGATGGTTTCACGTTTTCCAAGTACTGCAAACAGGATGTTAAGCTGGATTTCAACACCATGTAGGGATTACATAAGAGAATTCTTAAATGCTTTAAACCGATGTTGCAGCTTTTCTGTTATTCATATCCTCATGCATATACTCAACACCACATAATATGGAAATCCTCATGTCTGCAGACCAGTCACTAAGAGCACAGGGAGACTCTCCACATGCTGAGAATTACTCTGTTCAAGTGCTTGGTTTTTTTGACATTTACGAGTTTCTTCGCTGCAGCTGATAACATTGCCTCTGGTTATCTTAATTTTGGTTTCATGCACTTTTTGCCTGGAAATTAAGGAATGCTATTGTTACTGCAGGTCCAGTCTTGAATTTACTCCTTGCAGAACACACGCAGCTCCTGTATGACTTGGATACTGTGGAAAGCACAGCGCAAAACCCAGCACGGAAGACATGGAGGACTCCAGCCATAAGCAAGCAAAGCCACTGTCTGAGACATGTTAGTAAAGCAGGCACTGTATATGTACGTGTGTCATGTTCTGGTTGTCCATTACATTTTTTATCATACAATTTATTTTCCTGTGTAAATACACGGGAGTGCACTGCAAGGCAGAGCTTCCTGGAGAAAGTGGAGTCAGGAGCATCAACATTTTTGGCTATAATGGGGCTTCTTGTTTCTTTGTAATATTTTACAACGCCAGATTTCAGCAGCCCAAGCTCTAGAGCTTCTTACATTCCTTGGACTGCTCTTCACTTGCTCAGCATCAGAATATTTGCAGTTAGTAGGAATGTTGCTTTTCTTAACACATCCAGTTATGCCTCTTTGTGCCAGGTGTTATAATTCCTCTGTCTCCTAGAGAAACACAACTGGAACTGCAGGAGCTATATGACCTGCTGCTCAGAGCATGTGGAAGTTTATCGACCCTCTTCTGCCCCAGAAATGGTGGTAAAATGTTGTATGGCTTCTCAAATTCAGAGTTGGGAACTAGTTTGATCTAATGCTGCAGATCTTTTCAGTGCTTCATTCTTTCCTTTAGTTTGGCCTTTCTCTAGCAGTGAAAAACTGGGTATTTATTTTAGATTGCTACAAATGCTATACAATTAATCAATTCTACAGCAAGCTCCTCACTGCTGAAAATGAGAAATAAGGGGATAAATGTAAGTCTGGGAGAATATTTGCAAGCATAAAAATAGTCTACTACTTACAGTACAGCTTATCTTGTAAACAGCCCAAATATTGCATCAATTAGCATTAATCAAATCGCATTGTGAAGAGTATGCACAGCAATATGAGCAAAAGCTGGGAGAAGAGATTTTGTTAAGCTTAATCCTCAACTGGAAATGCAAAGTTTATGTACAGATTCTTAGTGTACCAGAAATTTTTAAATGTATAGATCAGGGTTACTCAACCAAACACTCATGGTGAATATGCATAGCATGACACTTTTAGGAATCTTGTATATATCTCTGAAAAAATATTTCTTGTATATATCTCTGAAAAAATATTTTGCAAATGCCCACCAAAAATTTTGATTTCTTTGTTCAGCATTTTCTTATATGTGAACCTAATCCTCAGTTATATGGCTTCTTTGCCAGAGTAAGCCTCATACATCTAAAATCCGAGTAACCCCAATGGATATTCTTAATAATCAGTACACAAACTATACATTAAAATGCCAATTTTTGACTCATGCATGGGTAATACATTTAAGCAAGCATATTTATGCCTTTCTGTATATTTAAATGTATGCCCAAGATAAATGCAAAGTATCTTAGTATATAGATAGATAAATGCAAGATATCTTGCAAGTCCTATTGCAAGAAAATAGTTATCTACTATTTCAGCTCTGTGAATATAGTTCAGCAAAAGAAATGAGAAATTACATGCTCCCTCCTTAAAAGACTGATTATCTCTTTTGGAAATGCCAGAGCAAGGAGAAGGAAAAGCTCATGCGCAGTGAATTATTTTTCCCTTTTCTGAGAACTGTCAGTTTAAAAAGGGTAAAAAATGAATTATTAAATTGATGTAATGATAAAAAATTAGCTTCTTCATGCATCCAATGGTAAAAAATAACCAATCAAAACTATGAGGAACTGTCAAATAAAAAAAATCCTCTGGTTTAAAAAAAGTTTAGCTTTGATCGCTTAGAGAAAAGGCGGAGAACACTTCAAGTGCCTTTTCTTGGCAGGTGACACACAAGGAAAATCCTTTTAAACAAACTTCCTTTAAAAACCTGTTACCTTCAAAATGATCTCAAATGTAAACATACTAGTGAAGACATAATCTGCATACCCTAGGATCTGGAAGGTAAACAAAAAGTTACAAACATTATTGCTAAAACTGCTTTTGAGCTAACAAGGATCAATTAACAATGCATTACCTTTAACAGGATTTCAACAGTAAAGATGGCTGTGAAAGCATAGTCAAAGTAACCAAGTATCTGCAAGGTATAATATGTGCCACAGTAAGAAATCCATCTATTAATAAATGTTTACAATTTAGACCACATGCACAACACCACCTGAATTAATCTAAGTAGGTAGATGGGGAATTTAGACAAAGTAGTTTAAAATTCCAGCTATTGCGCAACCATTTTTATTTACTAAAAAATTTATCAGATGCCACTTTGCTTATATACTAGATTTTACCCCTAAAGACTTAACAGGACCAACACTTTCTTTCAGTTCTGACTTTCTTCTATCAGCTTTCACAGGTACTTTCTTCAGTCTTTAGCAGAAATACAGGATCTTACACAAAACCACTTATTCACAAAGAATAAATACTTATTAATAATGTCTTTTTTTTTTTTTTTAACCAAAGTATCACATCAAAAAAATAAAACTTCAGTGGATACTTCTGGACTGCATATCATTCGACATTCTGCTACATTAGATTGTTCCTGTATAGACTGGGCTAGAGTGTTACAAAGCAAATTAACAAATAACTTAATTACTTAAAATCAGCACTACAGCTCTTTTTTCTTGAACTTGGAAGATATAGCAGTGATTTATTTGTATGAAATTTAAAAGAACCCACAACAGTTGCATAGTGAAATGCAAACTTTTAAAAAGATTGTGGATGTGGTATTGATCTCACTGCTGTCGACAGGAACACTGCCATATATTGTAGTAGAACCAAGATTTCACCCTTTCAGGGTGGCCATATCGCTTGCACCTAATTTAGTGATCGACATGAACTGCAGTATGTACTAGTTTAGTTTCAAGGATCCAGCAATCCAATTCGCAAACAGTTGTGCACAGAAACATGTTGCCTGCAGTTCAGCAACTAATAAAATGGGAAGGAGAAATAAAATAAAGAGCCAACACACAAAGTATTCCTATTAGATCATATAAAAGGAAATATTTTTTCCCCATGTTCAGTTGAAGAACACAACCTTCTGTCCCTTGCTGTGGCTGAAAAAATAGGCAAATATTAAAGCCATTCATGAAAGATTAATCCGTCAGGAATTCATTCTAGAGTTAAAAGAAAATATATTAAGGCATTCCAGTTTGTAAACTTTCATTCCCTTGCCAAGCTGGCTGGTTGAAGGAATGTGATCATTGAAGGCAGTAACGAGAAAAATATTCAGGTTTGGTGCATTTGTGAATATTCACAAGAAGGCAATGCCTTCTGGAAATCATTCACACATTTTAACTGTGTCCCAAACAGGAATAATCCTTCCAGCTATCACCACTCCCCAGTTACATTTTCCTAGTACTCATCTAGTTACAAAAACAATTATCAGCCCTTCAAACCATTTCTACAATACCAATTTCAGTATTCACCACCAGCTCCCTTACCCATTAGTGTGATTTATTCATAAGATTGCACTTGTCCAGTTTTATAGATATGGGAAGCACACAGCTCCACTGAATAGAACATGAAGAGTATCTTTGTGCTTTGACCTCTTTTTACCTTTGAAGAAAGTTTTAGCTTTCCGGATTTTACTGTTACTGAAAAAATGTTCAGAGAATTTCAACAGCCAAAAGAGGACTTTCAGAGGCCGCATCTATACTAGCAAGAACTAGAGGGAAACAACCTCTACTGACCCAGCAGGCTCATCTTTCCTGTAAGAGGTGGAAGTTTCTCTAACTCCATGGCAAGCTCTACAGATCAATTTATATCTAAAACAGGAGAGACCTGGAATTTCTGTCAAAGTACCCCAAAAGCCCCCACAGACTATTACCAGTTGCATCACCTCACAGCTATTTCACACGCCTAATCTAAGGCATGCACAACTCACGTGAGAGGCTTGCCTCACCACTAATACAAGTGCAACAAGTGTAAGGCAAACATTAGTCATGAGAGTGGATTTATTTTTGTTTCTCTGTCTAATAATTGTGCGTTTGAGTAACAGGCAAGTCTACTATATTAAGAACTTTAAATGGGGGATATTCAGGAATTTGTTTTAGGAGAACATGGATGTTTACTCACCACACAAACTACATTTTTATTGAATAATAGAGACATTTCTGAAATTAATAATCTTACAAATATTTTGTTTCTACAAGTATATCTAAAAAAGGATGCAGAAACACTTCCAAATTTTCAGATTTGTATATAGGCTGAGATGGCATTTGGCTCTGAATCAAGGCAAGAGGTGGACATGCTCTGATCATCATCTTACATGTGAGTTCAGAAAAAAGTGTTCAGTTTCTGATATAGCCAATCAGGAATCCAAGGATCTTCGGGTCCGACGTAGTGGTACACAAACTCATTATTGCGGCCACACTAGCTTCTTTGAAAGAAGAGGTAGTATCCTTATGAATCCATACACTAACAGAGTGATACTCTGAGTTCCCCAAGACCATATAATGGAGACAATGAAGGAGAAGAGAGGACAGGTCAGAGTCTATTCCCAACACGTTATAAACACTGATAATTCTAACTGACATTTTTAAATCCGTGTCAAACACTGAAAGGCCCTAAGAGTGATTCAGGAAATGCGTATCAGGTACATCAGCTGAAAATTATGAAAAAATATGACAATTACATAGATTATGCTCAGCTTGAGCATATTTTATTCCGATATTTTTATAGCAAAAGGAAAAACATTATGTACATAATAAATGGTTCTAATACCTACAATGTTCCATCAATACAGTTACTTATTTTTAAAGAGCTATGTTTTTTAAAGGAAAGAAAAAATGTATGACTTGAAAAAGGGAAGTTTCTTAACTTGAAAATTAAAAACCAGGCACTAGTTCCAAAGGATTGTTATTCTGTGAGGATATATTTATCTTCAGACATAAAAATGAAGGGCTTACATTATTTCGAAAAGAGTGGCTGCGAATTGGATCTTCTGCTGCTAGGGAAACACTGCTCAGCATGATGAACACAAGGATGAGATTGGTAAAGATGTGGTGATTGATGAGTCTGTGGCATCCCACTCGAATTCTGAAGAAGAAATACAAAAACATACCATGTGTGCAAATAGAATTCAGCAGATGGCTAATATACAACATGTTTTCTATTACTCTGTCAACAGTGACAGAACAATCAGCAGCAGCTAAAAGAAGTGCAATTGCTGAAACTATTGCTCTGATTTCTAAAAATGTAAATAAATTCAAAATCCAATCCACCTGTAGTGAAGACACACATCAAAGGAATCAGTATTTCCGAGCTCCTACTGGTTTTCAATGGGTTATGAATGCCACTACCAGTTCCAGTGTTTGTACCACTGTGCACACACAGACGCCTATGTCAAAAGGATCAGCACTAGATAATAACTCATTTCAGATCCCCAATTTGATTTGATTTGATTCTTATTAAGTTGTCAAAAATACTCATCTAGTGAGATGTGGCTTAGGCTGCAGATTTCATTGTGCTACTTAGAGGCTCAACTCACATCAGAATCTCCTGTAAAGATTTTCTTATAGAATTACAGGACAAGTGGGTGTTGAAGATCACAGAGCTAAGTTTCAGCCACATAACATGAAGTGGAACTGTACATATGCTTACATTCACTGAGCCCGAGGTTATTACAAATGCCATTGAACACCTTGGTAGAGTAGGTCTGGGATCAAGTTGGCAAAAAGACAGGATCAGGTTCGTAACTAAGACTGAAGTTGTCTAAATTCTGCCGAAGAATCAGAAGATTCTTGGGGAAAATTTGTTCTCCTGTTATTAAGTAGGTGATTTGAGTATGATGATTCTCCTTCCTCACCTGTATCGCTCCACAAAGGTTCCTAGGGTTATTAGGAATCCTATCTCATGTAGAAGATGCTCAAGTCCTGTGTCACGGCTTTTATATTCAGTGACTAATGTACTAAATGGCTAATATACATTAAAGGGTACTTTTCAGATGTGCAGACTTAACAGACTATATATACAAAATGCTATTATCTTCAACAGTGGGAAGCAAATTAACATATTTCTCAAACTCTCTTCATTTACCAAGTCATTCAGAAAATTTTAGGAGAGAAGCCAATCTCTCTCCTGTTGAAGATACTGGAGTTCTATTCCTAACCTCACTGGAAGGAGGCCTGTTCCTTCACCGCTAAACCTTGACTAAAACAGTATTTTTCAAAATTATATTTACGGGTTGGTGCTGCTGAAAATGAAGAAGGCACTCCCTTCAGGGATTGGCGTTATCTTCTCCTTCATGTTTAGTTCTGATATTCTACGGGGACGTGGGCCTGCTGGTACCTCTGGTTCATCCTCCTCATCTTCTTCATCTTCACCTACTTTAAATTAAACACTTTTTTACTATAAAATAAAACACACTGAGGATCTTTTCATAACAATATAAAAGCGTAGCTTGTATTAAAATATATATGGTTTATAAGAAATATATTCACAGTATGGCTTTAAAAATCTATGAATCAATATATGAACATCCATACAATTCTCACGAGCTTATACACCTTTACGTGCATATGTGCCCTGTGTGCACTTACAGACTTTGCTGGCCCCGACCAGCCTCATCTGGGGACTCCACTCACACCCCTGCATGTGGGCTCTGGAGCCCCACCTAAGCTCAGCCCCTGACCGTCAGTCCATGCCCGAGCTGTGCGGTGGGGTGCTGAGCTCTGTGCACTGGTTGAGCACCGAGTGCTCAAAAGGTAGGGCAGATTTCTGTAACAGGCATCCAGACAATCAGACAGAGCTGATTGTTAGATAAGTATGATCACTGAACTGGAAGAAGCTAAGACAAAATTGATCAAACATCATCAGCCCTGGAATGTCCTTTTTTGCCAAATGTTTCAGAAAAGTTTAGAATTTGCTCTCACACCCAGATAGAATTACCACAGCAGTCTTCAGGCTTACAGTATTAACCGTCATATGCTGTTTGTACTGCCAAGGAAGCTGCAGGAAAAGATAATACGTAGCAGCTTACAGGTCCATTTCTCCACTGATAATAGAGCACAACTTCACTGACTCCAAAGGAATTGATTCAGGGTTCAGCAAGAGCAAGTTTAGGGGATTTTAGCAAACAAACTTAAATGTGTTTGTTTTCTGGCTGGTTTTCACATACCTGGTACATCACAGGGTGGATAGGGATCTTTATCCTCTTCCTCTCCTTCTCCATATTCAGCAATTGTCACCTACAGCAATGAAAGGGATGCACAAGAAGAAAAATAAATTTAAATATAGATTGAAGCATAAAGTTCAAAAGAAAGCAAACCAAATAAGCCTCTGAGGTCGAGGAAGTGATCCCTATGCTTAGTCTGAGTTTTCTGAAACAGGGTACCTCTGAGAACAGAAGAGACCTGACAGTTTAATATGTATTTTTTAAAAGATAATTTTTTATAGTACCCATATTCCTCTGGTTATGTAGATCACAATGAGAATATAACCAACAGACTATGGTAAAAATTACCAAAAATGTTTGACCATTCTAGGAGTTTATCATTCACTAATCTCTTCCATTGGATTTATCAGGTAAAATACCCACAGGTATCCTAAAATATCATAATTTTAAAAATTTTTCAAACATTAACTATTTCATGATCTAAGAGCTTCCCTTCTCAGGATATCCCGAAACCAAATGGATTTTCTGGATTAAGAGATGCAAAGCATCAGAACTAAGTTTCCTTGGCCTGGAAAGAAAAGGTAGGGATGATGTATTCATAAAAGAAATTGTACAATGCACAGTAATCTTGAAAAGTACTCCCTAGCAAAATCAGTAAAACTGCTTCTTAGAAAAGACACAATTTTTAGAATAAACACCTTACTATCCTTGGGCTTCTTTTGGTCACCTTCTGACTTCTCACTTTTTTTATTTTCCAGACTCTCTTTTCTACAAAACAATACAATAACAATTACAAAGCACATCATGTAAAGACAGAAGATTTTAAGTGAAGTATACCCATTCTATGAAAAGCTAAGAGAGCATACCTAAAACCATATAGTAAAATATTTTAAATGATTTGCACAGCCACAGGTGTCAGAGCAATAAAATCTATTGCATTTGAATGCAATGATCCATTTAAAAGATCATAATTTTGAACACAATTCCAGAAGCTAATCCCTAAAAAATTCAATGCGTGATCATTACTCCTTTCTAGGGGGATAAACTGTGCCCTTGGACTCACACAAACAACTTGCATTGACTTCAATAGGCCTGCACTGATTTCAAAGGAAGGTTTTCTTCTTGTCTATATAAGGCTTAGAGAACTGATTCCACGGGGAGTTGTGAACTGGCAACAACGGATACATTCTTGCTCTAATTGAGCAATAAATCCTACCGCTGCAATGTTTAAATATCAGTTGGCTTATCGTTATGTCCTTAATTCACCCCGTTTTCCCAATTACTACCCAACTTTTATCTAAAATCATACTGATTGGGTCTTATTTTAATGTCTAGGTAAACTCTTTCATTTTTTCCTTAGTTCAATAAATTTTGAAGATGGTAAAGAGATTTATATAAAAGTGAAGAAAATCCTTTAAAGAATTCAGTACCCTCCTCCTTCCCTCTCCTGCTTATTCAACAGGCCCATGCTATTTTACCTCGCATTCTTTTTCCTTTCCTTTTCTTCAGCTTCTTCTTTCTGAGCTGTATTTAGACTTTCAGCATCTGCCAAGTTATCCACAGCAATGGCCAAGAAGACATTTAGCAAGATATCTATTTCAAATCATTTTAAGGACTTTATGCCTTACCATACTTGTTTGGTTTATTATCAGCATAAACACTGACAATGTGAGAGATATAAAACACGCGTTCCCAATCTACAGTGTAGAGATTTGTGATGCTGGAGTGTAGTGCAAGTAACACTCATTTAATGGACTAGATTAATATTGGGTGTAAAAGCAGCAGAAATCCATTAGGGTCACTGATTTTAAAACAGCAGAATGTTTGGTGTATTTTTCTTTTAAAAAATGAAATTCAACTTCATGTTAGCCTGAGCAAGTTTCAAATATGAAACATTGTCTATTAAAAGCAAAGACTGTTCAGGCATTTTGAAAAATTCATTTTTATAATGCACTATCTTCTGCATCTACAACAATCTGCATCAAATGCTGTACTTCAGTCCACATCAGTTAAGTACAACTACTGATACAAGTACCGTATAATAAAGAATATAGAATATTTTTGCCCTTTTATCACTTCCTGACCTTTTAAGAACTTCTGAGAATGACACTAGTTTCTGTTGCTACATGGGGCCGAGGAAGTATTTCCACTGCACTGAAGACAGGGAAGGGGAATGCTTCAGCAGACTTAAATGCTAACTGACTCAACACTTGGCCGTGCAGGTTTCTCTCATCTGGTCCCTGCACTCTATGGTGGATCACTGGCTCCACTGTCAGGGTGTGTCAGAATTAACGGGGCTACACCAAGCGTCAGAAGCATGAACGGGAAACCACTGCCACAGAGATCAGACTGCACCCATGCATTTTCAGAGGGAGAGATGTCAAACAGAGAAGCAGGTAGAATAAGGCTGTTTTCCCACTGAAGGAAGAAAGAAAAAATCCTCTGTTTTCTGTCACTGTGGTGGCTGGACATGGACTCAGAGATCCCTGGAGTCTCATTCATTAGGGAATGGGTGTACAAAGAAAAGTCGATCTAAAGGACTTAGCACGTGCAGAAAGCGCTTGCACGTCCGCTGCAATTTACTCCCTCCTAGAGAAATTTTGCATATGTCCCTGGCACACAGCCCCATTTGGAGATGTTTCCAGTGAGTACAAAGGATACAGTTACCACAGATGAAGAGGATAATGAAATATATACAGACTATCATGCCTGAAGATGATGGGCCACCATATGCCATTATGCCATCATACATAACAGCATTCCAGTCTTCACCTGTTAGAATCTAAGAAGCAGATATATTATTAGTAACTCAACATCAAAAAAAGCAATTAAAAAATGTTTCCTCTGAGCACAATACACAATAAGGCTAACCTTCTGTATACATAAAGCAATACCATAATCTTTTCATGCATTGTTTTAAAATTTCCACTTAAATAAGCATCTCCTGAAAGCTTGGGTTTAGCTCTACTAGCTTTTATTTTATGCCATGCGTTTACGTCACTGAACTTCAAAGGCAAAAATAATAAAAACAGAAGCCTATAATTTTATTGATTTTGGCACGCAAAAGTAAAAGCCCTGATTTTCAGTAATGCCACATATGTAGTAATGCACAAATGTTCTTCACTCTTGAAAACCAAGTTAGTGTATGTTTTAATGTTCTCTTTTTTTGAAATAGTGGCCACAAATCTTTTCTAGTGTATGCCATTTGTTAGTCCTGCAAACTGGTCTACCCAATTGCAGTTTTAACAGGGACTGGCTGCCTTATCATAAATTATATAATATACATATCACACGTACACTATCGCTATAGCTTTTGAAATGGTAGCTATTTTAAACTGAATGGAGCTCAATGCTGTGGGAGAATTACATGATTTTCTTATTGGCTATTGTTCCACATAATTTCGCCAAAGTCTAAAAGAATTTTACAGAAATCTGTGGATTAGTTAAAAGGATAGTTTACAATGAGATAGCTCCACTTTTTCTGAACTACAACAAAAATTCTGAATATTACAATGCAGGTTATAGGGGCACTTTATGTATTTCTAAGTAACCTCTTAAAAATTATCAGTTCTATCCTGAGAAAACATGCAATATTGACTCTCCTTCCAAGTAACTAAGTGGTTGTTCAAGAAAATTACATGCATGACAATTTCTGAAATTCATTTTTGGAGTGCTAAACTTATCAAGCCAATTTTCATAGTTGTTAAGCACCCAATAGGTAGGTTGTTCCTGTGAGTGCATTCTGAAACTGAAGGAAGTCTATTCCTTTTAACATGAGGCAGCCCAAAATCTGAATAAAATCCAACTCTGCTGAGTTGGTAAGTACAGCCTTAATTTTTTAAAGGGGCAATGTCAGGTCAAATGCAGACACTTTTCCTCTTAAGGAAATTTCTCCTTAAGATTTCCTTATGTTAAAATTACATAGAGAGATTTTTTTTTGCTTGCTCTGGGCAGCCACCAGACAGAACTTCTACCAAAGAGATAGGAAGTTGACACAAAGTTGAGAGTCAGAGTCAGCTTTAAACACTCACCTACAATGTCTGAAACCAAACACTGTGGGAATGTGCAAAGCTGAATGTGAAAATGGCTACAAAGATGAAACCAAATAGCCTAATTCCAGTGTCCAAATTGGGAAATATTAAAAAAAAAGGATCATAAAATAGTGAAAAGTAAACTGTAAGCAGGGCGCTATCTTTTCACAAACAGACAAGTGGCTTTAAAATTGCAATAAACCTGAGTGCCTCTTAAAAAAAATTCATACTTATTTTCATATTATATTAAGTGGTGTGACCCATATGCAAATATGCACTCTTACAATGCTTCTCATTTTTTCCTGCTTGGGAATAGCTGAACTTTTATATAGCTAATCAAGTTACAGAAAACAATTTGATTAAAATAAAAATAACGTTCCACCTCTTTTTCTAGTCATGTATTTGAAGGACAAAGGAGATTTAATTTTGTGAAGTAATATGACAGATATGTTGCATAGATAGATCAAATAAGACATGAAACAAATGGTACAAATGGTGCAGAGTTACCAGAGTACTGAATTTAATGAGCAGAATGCTACTTAAAGTAAACGGAATAAATAGTATTCATGATTTTATTTTCAGGCAACATGATCACTTAAACAGTTTTGTTGATCATCAAAGGTAAAATGTTTCATACGGGATGAAAGAAAGTTACCTGGAATACAGTTAAAAGAGCTTGTGGAAAATTATCGAAGGTGCTCCGTTTTGTTTGAGTTTCATCAAAATTAAATTTGCCTCCAAACAGCTGCATTCCAAGCAACGAGAAGATTATGATGAAGAGGAAAAGCAGAAGCAACAGTGAAGCAATGGACTTCATTGAGTTTAACAAGGATGCTACCAAGTTGCTCAGGGATGCCCAGTGCCTATAAATTAAAATGCGTGTGTTAACACACACCAAAAAAAACCCAAACAAAACAGTAAAAGAGCAGCGCGTGATGAAGTATTACAAAAAGAATTGCTGATCACCCTTCAGCTATCCCTATAGTTAGCAGTATTAGTTAATCTTACCTTGTTACTTTAAAAATACGCAGGAGACGAACACAGCGAAACACTGAAATTCCAAGGGGTGACATAATTTCCAACTCCACCAAAATGGTTTCAACAATGCCACCACAAACAACGAAGCAATCAAAGCGGTTAAAAAGAGAAACAAAATAAGCCTGCAGGCCCAAGCTGTACATCTTTACTAACATTTCACAGGTGAATAAAGCCAGAAGAACTTTATTTGCGATATCTGGAACAAAATATTAAAAAAAAAAAAAAAAAGACATTCCTGAATTGTCTCATAGATTTCATTTTTATTTTAACATATTAGTGCTACACTTTCTATACTAGTTTGCAGCTTTTTGCTTAAGAAGAAAGTATTGGTTTTATATGTTGGACTGTATTTGATGCCTAAGTGGCAAAAGTTATACAAGGACGTAAAGTTTCCTGCCACCTATAAGCTACTCGTCTTTCCAATCTGTTCTGCAGTTCATGGCTGCTGAACTCACAACCCGAGTCCACACTGTAACTTAAGCAACACAGCCCACAGCACGTTCTGCTGTGCCAGTTACCATTTCCTTCCTCATCTTTCAAGCATGGTTTAACAGTAGAAGTACAGGTATTTACAATTTAGTATTGTCAGGTTTTTGCTGGTATGCCATTAAGCTGTGTTACAGTTGTGGAAATCAAATGCATTCAGTCATTTCTTTTATCTCCCTTCGGCTGGTATGAATATCCTTCAGGACAGCAAACAACAACAAAATGACAAAGTACAAAAGTGGCCAGTGATAGAATAGAAGTATCCATAGTCAAAAACAGGAGAAAAAATTTCTGATTGTACCTTGGATCTGGGTCAGCCAGTCAGGTTGATTATAATGCTCCGATGAGATAGTTAATGTGTTCAGAAAGACCAAGACAATAACAAGCCAATAAAATGTGACAGATTTTACTGCAGCTCTGCATTTTCTTCGATTGAATCGATTCCAGCGACGCCAGCGTCGACTGAAAGTTCAAATAAAAACAACTTTATTATTATACAGAAAACACATATGAACTTAAGGTAGTTTTCTTCTATGTAGAAAACATAGTGCAAGTATGTATGTGTGAGCAGGTGTATTTTCATAAATATGTGCACAATACTTCAGATAGTTGTGTAAATTATTACAATAATTTACAGATTAGGGACTGCTAATTTGTTATTCCTTTTTTAGGTTTCATTATAGATTTTCAAATGGAAACCACAACTTTTGGAGACTAACTGCCTGTGACATAATTAGATTAAGCAGCATGTAACATTTCATTGAGTAATAAGATATATCTGTCTTTCCAGACCCCGTACACTTACTAGCAGTAAAGAATAGCCAATGAAGCAATTTAGAATTCAAATTACATTTAGTCTGAAAATGTAGGCTTTGAGTTAAACCACAGGTGTGATTCTGGCAGGATTAAACAAGTCAGGAATTCTGAGGTCAACTTTTAGAAATCTACCCTGTAATGTTAGAAATCTCAGTCAGCGACTCTAGAGATTTCTGCTGATGTGCCTTGAATTGTGTCAGTGGGCAAATGTCTGTGAAATGAGTAGGAGTGACAATCGAGGGCAAGTAAACAGGCCCTATCTAGAGATGAGTTGGATTCACAAGTGAGAGTGTCAGCTTAGCTTTGGACTCATAAAACCAGATTGCTCTGCTTCGCTTCTTAGAACTCCAGTAAACCAATTAGTCTCCATGGGTTGCATTTCCATTTGTGAAATAGGAAGAAAATATATTGCTGGGTCACAGGAAGAGAAGGATTAGGAAGCACTTGATATTACCTAAAAGAATGACATATAAAATTCACACACCCAGAACTACAGCCGTGGACTCAGATAATTAATTTTAGGAACTGACAACTGCTTCATCCAAAATTCAAGGTACAGAGCAGGCAAAGACTCCAGCAGAAGCCTGACCTAGCCTTAAAATAGCGAAGAACTGAGCAGAGTGTGCATGCACAAGCTTCTTCCACTATAGTTTCACTATCAAGCCAGTCTAGCACAAATCTGTTGTGATGGAAAGGGGTGGTGGGCTCTCATTGTTCTGGCCTCTCCTTTCTCTTTTGCAAAAACTAGCCCTAATGAAGTGAGTCAGACCTGAGAATTGACTGGCAGAAACCAATTTCTTTTTTTCTGGGGTGATTTTAGCTGGTCAGTTGTCTGATCCCATTCATTGTACTGCTGCATCCAGAAAGAGCAGGAAGAAGGAGTGGCTGAGAGGGGAAGGGCACTGCAGCCTTTTTTGGCAATACCAAAACAGGGAACTACGGCTTTTGAAAATTGTTACAAAATAAGTAGGTGAATTTCTTAATACTTTTAGTGTCTGAATTAGCAGGTATTGTATTCTATAGAATCAGAAATGCTTTAAATCTGCCTCAGAAAATAGAACCAATATGCCAATATGCAATAACACCACCATAAAAATAACTGAGCTTGGCACTGCATTCAAGCATTAGCTGCGTTTTCCTTATGTACCTTAAATTTGTACTTGTAGTAATTGAAATTAATGCTGGTATTAGATATCAGTACAAAAATGTTTCAAGACTTTGCAGTATTCTAACCATATAAAGGAAAAATATCCTGTCCTGACCTAAATCAAGCCACTATTCAAGAACATTCTTATCTTGCCAGTCCCCTGCTAACCAGTGCTATGTCCATGGCCATCATGAGGGTGGGTCACTCCCTGGGTAGGTAAACCAGCCTTTTTTTATGCTTACAGAACATCCTATCATTGAAGTCAATGAGATAAGAATAATATTGTTTGGGTATCTCTACTCATAGGAGCCAAAAGCAGTCTCAAAGTGTATAAATCACAGCTCTCTGAAGCCAATGGGGCTTTTTTTTTCCCAAAAGGTCTGTGGAATTGGTGACAAAACAGTATAGTTAAGTGGTGCACATATGAAAATGCTGCCAAAGGGTGTGCAATGGCACTCACATGCAGAAGTGTACGAATAATATAAATGTATATCAGAAGCCTACAGAAATAAAGCAAAAATTCAAAAAGGAGAATAGGAGTAATTTTCTACCTTCCTTAGAACGGTACAATTAAAGAAATAAACAGTAACAGACTGAAGTAGATGGCCTGTTGTGCCAGGAAAACCTGTGGCTATATAAAATAGGAAAATGTCACACTATTTTTACTCAACAGTTTTCTGTTTTTTAGTAACCTCCCCTCCTAGTTTTAACCAAATAGCATAATTTTTTTTTCTGGAAGAATGAAATGTACCCTTTTATTTTAGAGAGAAATTCCATTTTCATAAATTTGCAATGATGTAATTTTTTTTTCATGAAATTATCAAGCATTTTTCACAAAATATAGCAGTTGAATAAATATTAAAATCACAGAGGACACATAGTCGACAGTTCGTTACAATAAACCAAATTATTCACTGCTTTTGTTCTCATTAAATAATTTATCATTTTTTCTTCATAACTATTTATGAGAAAATCATTATTCTTACAAACGCGTTCCCAATTTCACTTTCACTCAGGTATTCACGTTTAGGTGGTCCTTTAGGCCCTGGTCTTAAATCTGACTCCACACATGGGAAATCCAGCCTTGCATTGAGTCTGACTGTACTCAGTGTCAGTCAGTCATGCAGAATCTATGAAGTTTAGTTTGTTTACTTGCTATTCATGTGTGCTTGTGTATTGCTACTACATCTACGCAAAGGTAAGAACATTCATTTTCAGAATATTTTCTATCAGCAGCCTTTCATTATAACATGGTATTTTTCTAAACTGGACTTTCTGTTTAGAACCGTATGCATAAGCCCTGTACCTGTGAAACTGGCATGCCTCATTTTCACCAGTAAGATCACAAAGTAGTAAATATTAATGCCCAAGATTAATTCTTCTGTAATTGTGAGTGCTAATATCTGTGCAGAGACCCTACGCTTCACTACTCTTATTTATGAAATATGGGACAGAAGAATTGCACCAGAGCACGCACTCATTATGAAAAAATAGAAGCCTTTGAGATTATTTTTCCATTCCTCATTTTTGTACTTACAGGATTCAGGGCATAGTACCAACTTATTAGCACGACTTAAAGGTTAATGTAATCATATAATCATACTGACACATGAGGAAGTGAATTCTTAAAAAAGGGATCTTCATGGAGGACAACGTGCACAAATCTCTTCAATAACAGATCCCCATCTTCCTCTAATCATAGCTCTGTCACTTCCATGTAAGGAGGAGGAGGAAAAAAAGAAGTTGTTCTAGTATCAAAACATTTCCAATTCCACCTGGAAAATTACAAATATGCATCACAGATCATATTTACCCATATATATCCTCGCATAATGTGCGGTTAATAAACTTCCCTTAATAAACTGGCAGATAATTGCCATATCTTGCTAAGATGTAATTCTCTTGACTAAGTACCCATCTGACTGTATATAAACATATTTCCAAGGATTAACTTCTAATTTCACTTGCGGTAGAGCAGGTAGGCTAGCTTGCAATAAAAAGCGTTTTCTATTTTGATCCAAAGGCAAAGACGCTTATGGTGAAACCAATATCCTTGATAAGTTATGTCCAGATTTACTTCGCCCTGAAACACAGTGTCCTGCCATTGCAGAGCAACATTCCCACAGCTGGAGTGAGGATCAGGCCAGAAGAGTGAGAAATAGACCAAGATTTAGCATTTGGCTTAGGATGTGCTAGGACATCCCTGACAGTTGAACACATAATCTAGGGCTTTGCTGCAGAACTGAGAATTTCTGTATTTTAGGTAGAGCTTTTTAGAAACTAGTGATTCCAATGAAAATCATCTACATTCTTCTGACATATCAGAAAAATTGATTTTGCAATTATGAGATATTAGGTATCTAGAAGCAATGGGATGAACACCATGAGTCTATAGAACCTTATAGAGACAGAAGAGCAGATACACTCTGTTCTTAGTGGCATTGCAAAGCCAGCAGCTCTCCAAAGTGCTTTTTCTCTCTGGTAACAAATGTTGTCAGCTGTTTTTAGGAATCTGAGACATGGTGCAAGCCACATCTCTTTGGAAGACAATGGCACAACTATAATTTTCATAGAATCATAGAATGGTTTGG